TCATTCACAACTTTACTATTTTCATCTAAATCCAAGGTTCTTGTTACATTTGCTAATTTTGCTTTATCGTTATTAACACTAGAAATATTCCATTTTCCAGGTGAGCTAAATGGACCTTGATTATTTAGTTCTAATTTGGTCCGCTCTGTCTCATTTAATGTATCAACTTTCCAGGTCTGAGTGTTAGGTGAAAATAATACAATAGTTTCATGTTGAATACTATTATCTTCTGAAGATGAATCATCATTGCTAACTATAAAATGTGATAATAAATTACTACAATTTCAAACATAAACTGAAACTTTATAACTGAAAATTTTAGTTATAATAAGTAGTTTAAGTACTGTTAATTTTACCTTTATATTTCATCAATTTATTTTCCCAGTTTGGGTCATTATCAGAATCATCCTGAACATCACTTATTGACCCAGCATGGTCTTCATTTTCTATTTCTAAAAATTTTTCAATGTTTTTGTTGGAAAATACAGAGCTACTTTTCAATTGTATCACTGTAGTAGGATCTAAAAATATAATTGTTAATTAATATTTAATAATAATATAATTTTAATATTTTACATAATGATAATATTATATTGAAGATCAATCAGTTAAACAGATAACTTTTTAGTTTTAACTTTTAAATAACAATATAACATATATATATTATTTAATACTAAATATTAATAATTTAATACAAATTAAAATTGAATAAACATTTTTAAAAGTATTTTAAAAACTAACTTTTAGAGCAAACGTCTGTGTACAAAGGAGGGGCATTCTTTGCACTTTTTAATCCACAAGAGCCTTGTTTTTTCTTTTTTTCTCTAACTACTTCATCTTCTGTTGATAAATCTGAATTAATAGCTGCTCTTGGAAGCTTTGCTTGTGCTTCAGCTAATGTTGCTATAACACAAATTAAGTTAACTAAAAATAATATCATACTAGCTAGTAAATAAGTGGTAATAGTTACCAAAGTTTTTAGTTCCTAATGTTCGTGCTGGATAGAACATAAAATCTAATTTATTTGGTTTAAATCTATTTTTAATTAATTGTTTCACATTTTTTGAGGATTTTGGCCAAGCACAAAGTCCTTTCTTAACCCAAGTATCGGGCACTGCTTCTATACTGTTGTCTTTATAAAACAAGACGACTTCCCATCGAGCCATATATAAATCAAAAATTAACTTACTAAAAAAATGAAACAACAATTATAAAATAACGGTGAAAGATTAATAAGTTAAATTTATTTATTTTTGATTTTAAAATTATTAATACTCTATAGTAAAATAATATAACATTTCAAGTTTCCAACTTGTAAAAATAATTATAGGTACCTGATGAGACAAATTGTTCTCCTGTATGTATTACGGACAAAGCAATCATTTGTTTATCATGGTTTAAAATCATCATTTTTTTTTTTATGTCTGTGATATTCCAATAATTTAAAGTTTCTGTCATATTTTTGACATGGTACATATCTAGTATAATAGAATTTATTGGTTCAATGAAAAAAGGTGTTGTATGATAAAATTTTTTTCCCAATATTAAAATATTGTTATTCATTTCTATAATATTAACACATTTAACTACTTCTCCACCTTTTGTTAAAATAAAACTATCCGATTCTTTCTGTTTTCTAATAACAATAGAAATATTACTAAAAAATAAACTATTATACTGAACTCCAAAAATATTATCCATTAATGGACCATTTGTATGAGTTCTTTTAAGAATAGGTTTTTCATCCAATTGAATACTTTTGAAAGTATTTACTGTAATTGAGTTTATTTCTGAATATCTATTTATGACCTGTTCTAATGGCTTTTCTGGTTTTCTTAAGAAAGATTTTAACTCTTTCATATGATTTTCAAAAATAAACGCACTGCATTGGTCAAGTGGTCCTAATTGATCATAATCGTCACATAAATGTAATAAAGTGTGAACATTATGTGATACGAGGTATTCTCCATATAAATTTTGAAATTGTTTCACAAAGTAATCTAGTAAATGTCTTGCATAGTTGACTAGTGATTTGTGATTTGGACTAAGAAGTATGATCATAGCAATGCTTAAAGACGTAAAATGAGAATAACATTCATCATTTAATTTAGCTTTTAAAATAACTGGTACTGAATAGAGTAAAAAAAATCGTAGCTCAACGGCTTTCCAGCGTCCAACTTCAAAAAGACTTCTTACTCTTTCTAACAAAATCAGATGATACATCAGTATTTAATGCCAATAATGATTTTGACAGATCTTTAATATCTCTGGATGGTAAACGGATTTTTAAAGGCCCGGATTTCCAAAGTAACAATAATTTTTTCATAACCCCCAAACAAACTAAATGCATATAGTCGAGGGGAAATGATTTAACTAAGTCAAAATCATTTAACTTGGCCAAAACTGATGGAGATTCCGATGTATGATAATCTTCATCTATCATATTTATGTATGAATTATGATCTCTCAAAGTAGATTTCCTATTAGAATATGGAAAACAAACTCTATTCTTTTGATAATCACCGTCAATGAAACACCTGGTACAATAATTAAATCCAGAATGTGTTTTAACACGTAAAACAAATGCTCTAGCTGGTGAATCACAACAAATGAAACTTATTGATATTTTGATAATAACATCGTTTATGCTAATTCCATTTGTCATTAAGTCATTAGCTTCTTCAACAAATTCAGAAAGAAATTCATTACTGTCTTCTGGTTTACTCTGACCGTAGTAAATTCCTATTGGAAATACGTTTTTAGATGAAAATTCTGAGATAATATATGCCAATATTGGCCAGAATTGATTTCCATTGCTTTTACTTATGGGTAAACCATCAATACCAACAGCAATTTTCAGCTCTGATAAGTTTTCTGGAGCATATTTTTTAATACCAGCACCCAAACCAAAATGATAAAATATTATATAAACCCTTATATGTTCCTTAAACTTGATATACCAATAATATGAGTTTTTTATTTAAAATAATTCAAATTCGTACACAAGTTACAAATGTTATAATAAGAAATATGTATATATTAAACAATAAATAATTATTATGCACCATTTTTTAGTGAATTGTTTAGATTTCTTCTAAATAAATATATTCTAAAATATAAAAAATAGGCTAAAAATTTTACAATTGCCAAAATATAATTTAACTAAGATATATTTTCTAATTATAAACGTATATTATTATATAGTTTTAATTACTTTGGTTTTTACATCAAGTGACGACGAACGATTTCCTACTTTAATGTGTGGTGACAACATATCAATCAAATAAATTGCGACATGTTTAGTCAATCTAAAATTTTTTAGAAAAAGCCGATCTGAAAATTGAAAAGGGTCTAAGACTGTATCTCTTTTACTCTGTAGTCTATTATTTTGAGCAGCGTTCTCTTGTAAAAAGAGATTTTGTATGATGAATAGTTCATCAATTCCTATGTGCATTGCCATTTTAGACACTTCACACAAATAAAAACTGAATGTTAGAAGCGTTAAAACTATAATAATTAAGAATAATTAATCATCAGAATTATCTAAAAATTAATAAWTTATAAAAATAAATTATTTTATTGTAAAATTCAACGAAGGTCAGAAAGATGGTGCCGAATGTCGATAGTGGTGACAGTGGTGTTCACTGTTCGATAATTTTTGTCACTGGTTTAATCACAGTAGATAAAATAATCGAATACATTTTAATCAATAAAATCTTATCACTATTCAAGAATACCGAATATTTATTTTCATGCGATAAAATTTTTATCGCATGCGATAAAGTTTATCACGATTTCAAGAATTGGCCCCCTGATGGTATGTATTTTGATCTGTCTGAAATGAAGTTGTTTGTGGTGGAATGTATATCGTTGACCTTTCTTTTTGTTGTAGTGTTTCAAGGACGATGTTTTGAATATTAGTTCGTAACTGTAATTTTTCCAGATTATTTAATTTTTCAAAATACGGTAACAAACTCATCAAAAAATGATAATCGGGATTATTAGTTATCGTTGAGTCCTTTTTTTGCTCTTCCCTTATGAGATCAAGTTTTTGTTGTTCTATTTGCAGAAACGGATCAAAATCTATCTCTTCGCCTCGTTGTTTTTTCTTTTTTCTTTTTTGAGAAGGTGTTGATAACTCACTTGATGATAACAAAACTGACCCAGGTGTTTCTGGAAGAAGTACATCAGTTGTAATTTCTTCAGAACTTCCAACTTCGATGAAGTCATCTTCAGAGTCATTTATTTCAGAGCGAGTGTCAGAAGTCATAGTCAGATTAGGTAGATTTCCACTTGTAACACTTGGAATTATGATATCTTTTACAAATAGCATTAAATCAAAAAATGGCCATTTTGGCTTGTAACTATTGCCTTCTGCTCCAGAACGTACAATAGGTATTTTTTGAACTTCAACTCTAAATTTATCTTTTAGATTTTTCCACTTGGCTTTCACGATTTTACCTAATTTAAAATATTTATTTTTTTAAATAATAATATAGGTACATTAAATTATATTTAAATTCAATAACGTATTTAGTACACCTAGTAGTAGGCCAGTTCATTATTTTTTCAATAATCTTCTACATTAAAATAAATTCAAGAAAAACGAAATAAAATGTCTCTATCGACAAAACAAATTGGTAAATAGCTAAATCGTATTTTACTATTTCGATCTATTAAATTTATGTTAAAAGTTATATGTTTCTAATTATGGTTTTATTAAAATTCAAAATAATAACTACTTATTAACATAAATAATTACATAAATAAAAAAAAAAAGTTTATGTGTTAACTTAAAGATGTGTTAAATTTGAATGCAAATGTTTTCTAATTGACTGAAGTTTTTGTTAACATTTATTTGAAGAAAAAGTTTTGGATAACTTAAATGCTTATAAACAAAAATTGTGACTAACAATTTTTTATTTTTTTTTATTACGATAAGTAAAACTTATAATCAACCTTACCTTACCGGTACCTAAATTTTTTTTATTGGCATTTCAATGAAAAAAAAATGCGGGTAAGTAAGTAGATGTCGCTCTGCTGTACAGTAGTTTACGAATATACAGAAGTATCGAAAAATAATTATATAAGTGCCTACTAGTATTTTTGAAACAAACTTAATTATTTTATATTATTTAGTTTGTATGGGCTTTATTACTAAACTTATTGATTTAATATTTATTTATTTATTAGGTATTTATCTACAGGCCTTTCATTTCGGAATTTGGCCATTACATTAAGAATGGGTGCTTCGACTGTCGGTAAAATTGTACACGAGACTTGTAAAGTAATCTGGCAAGAATTAGTTGATGATTTCATGCCTATTCCAAATCAAGATCGGTTTGTAAAAATTGCAGATGATTTTTACAATCGTTGGAAATTTCCTAACTGTATAGGATGTATAGATGGCAAGCATTGTCAAATTAAATGTCCCGTCAATAATGGATCAAGCTTGTGAGATTACGGAGCTTTTTAGGGCTCCGTAAACCACCMACGAGYAAAGGGGAACACTTTCCTCGTGACYTGYGAGCCGCACCGCGTGAGACCCGAGGGTCAAGTCGGTGGAACTCACAGGCTTTGATWCACGCAGTGGCGAATGAACGCCAAAGATTTATTTAGAAGGGGGAAAACAAACAAAAAAAATTTATATTAATAAARTAATAAGCGTAAAGTCTTAGGATAACTATGGGGATATATTTTACATGGTTGTAATAAATAATATAATATAATATAACGCACATGGCAAAATGAACAAAATACAGGGATAAGTATATAATATAATGCTACGGCTCCGACAAGCGGTTACCGGCACGGAATAATCATCATACGTCGGTATGACACATTATACTATTACATGTGTTAAAGGAAAATACCCACGGCTCCGCATGACGGTTACCGGGGCACCTATGAGGAAAAATGGAGCATAAATAGAAAATACGTTGTAGTGATACATAATCAAAATGAAAAAAGAAAAGAAAAAGTTGTGATACATAATCAAAATGAAAAAAGAAAAGAAAAAGTTGTGATACATAATCAAAATGATAAGGGGGGGATGCTGGGGGAAATAGTTTTGTACATTACACAAATGATGATGACTTGAGTTGTGGCTGGATGACGAAAGTGTGGATGACCGACGGCTGGGATAGGCTGGCCAGTTGGCCGTCGACCCCCAAGACACGTGGTCGACATGGCCCATCGGCGTCGGTCACTGGAAAAAACGGAGGCTTCGCCYGACATCGTCGCTTAGCCCATCATTTCGTACATTACGAGTATGGATGACAATACAAAAAACTATAAGTTGACTATTGACCACGAGGTTGATCGGACTGCAGAATGAGTGGGCCAGTGGTGTTCGTTACGTCTTGACGGGAATACGTTGGTTTAAAAAGTGAAGATGGCTGGCGAAYGGTGTCCGGTCGCTGGCCGTTGTTGTCGCAATTGATGTCGTAGTAGGGAAGGTCAGGGTAGGCGTATTGCGGGATTTTACAATAATATGGGTAATTAAAATAATTGCACTGCGGCGATCGCACCGACGGACGCGACAGAGTCGCCGACGGCAACCGATGACGACATGTTACGGTGACGACGGTGAACACTKTTGCAGGCGGGGAGGTCGGGGATCAGTTATTGCATAACATAGTGGTAATCGCGGGCGCGCTATTATATTAATGGGATGGTCACTGGCCGACAGGTATGCTGATATCCTAGGTATTGGGTATACCCAGCGGTTTAATAATAATAATAATAAGGCCTGAAATTCTGTGACGTTACAAGCTACTTCAATTATTTGAAATATTTTTCATTAGTACTTCAAGGCGTAGCGGATGCAGACAAAAATTTATATTTATTGAGGTCGGATCTAGAGGTAAGCAGAGTGATGGAGGTACATTCGCAGCATCCACACTTTTTCAACATTTACAATCAAATACGTTTGTGCCACTTGATAAAGAGTTACCTGGAACTACAATTAAACTACCTTACGTGCTCATTGGCGACGAAGCATATCCTTTAAAAACGTTTCTCATGAGACCATTTCCAAGTCGCAATCTTAATGCCATTAGAGAAAATTATAATAAACGTTTGTCTGCAGCTAGAAAATGAATTGAATGTGCATTTGGTATACTGCGTGCCAAATGGCAAATATTAGGAAAAGATATTGAAGTTAGTTCTGAAAAAGCTGTACATATTATAAAATGTGCTTGTATTTTACACAATGTGGTACGTGAAAAAGACGGAGATAGTGATCTCGATTATTGTCAAATTATGTTATACGGCCAAGCTCAGGAAAACCAACTTTATAATTTACAAGAAACAGGAAATCACGGCGGTGCACGCAGAGGGTCAACAAGGGCACAAGAAATTAGAGATGAATTTGCAAATTTTTTTTTGAACCATTAAATGTAAAAATAGTACATCACATAATAATATTTCCTTTGATTAATTTGTTTAATAGTAGGTAAACAAAATCGTAATATAATACCTACAAACCAAGTTTACTTTATATTTATATCACTAATAATATAAACTTAAATATAATAATAAACTTATATTTTTAACAGATAATGTATTCAAATCTTGAAGTACATTGAATAAGAAACAAAGTGTTAAAAAAAAGCTACAAAAATAAAAACAGGATTTTAGTACGTTACCTAATCTGTAACATACGTATATCTTTTTTATAGTTTTCATGTAATATACCTATTAGTTCGTTTTAGATCTTGAACGGAGTTTGACTTGGGAGGGGTAGAAAATAATAAATATTGAGCTATTTATATTCATTAGAAATCTTCGATTTATTATACTAAATTAAATGTAGAAAGTAAATGGGTTTAATTTTTTTATAAGCATTTGAAAATTAAATATTTACAAAATTCGTTAAAATCATGATTTACAAAATGCACAAAATGCACAAAAAAGACACCCCTGTCTAGACAGTAGGTATGGCATGATTGTCACACATATTATAATGATATTTTTAAATTGCGTTAAAACACGCAATCCTGTGATTGCGTAATTTAAAAATAGTTTTTAATAACAAATAATACACCAGGACATATTCATAGTTTATAAATATTTAAACAAAGCCAAGATTATTAAAAATTTTACGATTGAAAAATACAAAACGTAAAAACTAAACTTTAAACAGTGTCGTATGCATATGAATTACTTAAATTTTTAAATGTTTCAATAGGTATAGACCATATTAGGTACGTAATAATTATAATTTTTTTAGGAACGATTAAATGGGTTAACCATGAGGTTCAAATCAATGGAACTTAATCCTGATTGTATTGTAATTGACGAGTTGGCTATATTATGTTAAGTAACATAATATAGCCAGTAACATACAGAGATATACATTGTTTTACCTGGAAATCCAACTGATTTTCCAACTTCTTCCCACATTTTATTCGTTTTTTCAGTTTTTTTATACTCAGGGTGCCGATCATTCCACAAAGGAGGTCTTAATTGAACCTCAGAGATCAATATTTCTCGTTGCTCATTGGAAAATTGAATTTTTGAGCACATGGTGAATATTTCTAGTTGAACTCAAGTTTTCTAGTTCACAATATTCTAGTTGACACCGCTCACAATTCAAGCCGTTTTGAAAAATAAACAACGCATCGCGCACAGCGCATCGCTAACGCTCAACGCCCAAGGTCAGTGTACACGGTTCCGATAAAATTACCGTGTTTGATTTATTTTCGTCAACGCTCGTCGCTCATCGCCCACCGCTCACCGCGCAACGCTTTCCAATGTGCACGCGGCCTAATACTTGAGCAATTTTATTTCAGGTACCTACTTAACCACGAATAATGTTTGTGGCCGAAGCCGAGTTTTGATAATTAGCTTAACAATTCCAAACTTGTTTACTTAAATAATTGATTTCTTTATTTCTATTTTTTTTTTCTTTTATTACACAACAAAAACTCATGGAAATAAGAACATAAAATTGACAAATGTTATTTTACAATATTTCGATTAACGTAGTTAAAATACCTTTTCATTTTACAACTTTATAGCATAGTAATACAATATGAATCTTTTTTCCTATATAATATTATAACATAATATATTGCTTTTTATAATGATCTATAATTACAATAATATCCTAGATCGATTTAGTAGTTTCTTCGAAACATAGACCACAGGTATTAAACAATTTGATACTTCAAGCGTTCTATTAAAACATTTTTTTTTAACAATATTACTATATATAATAATTAATAACATAAATAACTATACGTCATACGACAACCCGAATGTATAAAGAAAGTTGTTTTCTCTATCACTAAAGCATGCTAAATATTATATTAAGTCGCAAAGCCGCTTACGGTTACGCACATAGCTGCTAACTATAACATTATAATTTAATAGATAATGTACTTACAGATTCGATCGACGCGTCGATCGCTGGCCAATGATGACGACCTATCGCTAAAGAATAATATTACAAAAAAACAGATAATATTTTTCTATACAACAATACAATTTTTATGTTTTT